TTTTTTTTTTGTTGGGGCTGGGTTTGAACCCGCCACCCTCGGTATATGGGGCCGGCGCCCTACTCACTGAGCCACAGGCGCTGCCTAGCCTCCTTAACTCTTACGAAGTTCTTCCATTCCCTGGCCATCACATTCCTCTCCAGCTCTCCTGCATTCTTTGCTCTGGTCCCATTGATTTTTAGTTTTTTTAATGTATCCATGATCTCACCTGAAAATATCCCTGGTCACTATCTCTCCCCTTTTTGTTTAGTTGTTATCCATCTTTCAGGACTTGACTTCCCTGGAGGCCTTCTGTGACACCCCAGAATGACTTGCTCTATTTGATTAGCATCTTGTATTTTGATTCTTGTAAAACTCATCTCATTTTATGGTAGAGACTTGCTAAATTGTACATTTTAGACTGTAAGATCATGAGGACAATGATTGAGATTCTCTTTTTCATTTTTTTTTTCTGTGACAAGGTCGCACTGTGTCACTGAGGCTAGAGTGGAGTAGCATGATCATAGCTCACTGCAGCCTCAAACTCCAGCCTCAAGCGATCCTCCCATCTCAGCCTCTAGAGTAACTGGGACTATAGGCATTGGCCACCATGCCCAGCTGATATTTTTTTTTCCTCTATTTTTTCAGCTAAATTTTTTAAATTTTTTGTAGAGTTGGGGTCTCACTATGTTGTCCAGCCTGGGGTTCTCTTTTAACCAAAACCTTAGAGGCCAGTGCTGTGATATTCAATATATATTTGAATGAATGAATCCATTAATCTTTCCTTTTCTGAACCATTGAAGAATGCCCCAAACATAAATGACTAATTTCAGTTATTGAATACAACTCTGTAGTTCAAATCTGTGGTAAACTATTATGCCTGAATTGTATGTAGAACAACCTTTACCTTTACAAATCTGAGTGAATTCACATTTCACTTCAAACACCGTAATTACAACAAATGAAAATTGTAATAACCTGGCTTGAGTTTTTATGAGGGTAGGGGATGGAGATTAATATGCTGGATGAACCACATTGCTTCTCCCTAATGAATATTAACTGATTGACTAAATTTACATCTTCAAATGTCCCCCAGGGCTTGAGAAATGAAGTTGGTCAGCACTTCTATCGGTGCAGTAAAGATCCTCACCACTAGGTGTCTCAATGGCCGTGCAACTTCCTCCATCTTCTTGGAAAGCAGGGAGCGGCACACACTCCATTACTCTTTTGTTATTGAGTCTCCAACAAATACCCTTTTGGAAGAGATGATTTCAATACCTGGCTAAATTTTCCAGTATATCTAATTAACATCTAGCGTGCCTCTCTTAATAGCAGAAAACACTGGGTTAACTGCAGTGGGTCTGTTATTGTTTTCCTTGACTTAGGAACAGCATGCTGTGCTTGTAGTACTTTTATTTATTTCCTTATCTCTATTTATATCTTTACCATTGGGTGAGGTTTTCCATGGTCTTAGCCTGATGTAAGAACCATGAATGACCCTATTTTGATCACCTCTCACCTCCACAGTGAACTAAATGTCCTCCCAGGCTTTTTCCACAGTTACATTATTCTTGAAGGCATTTACAGCTCTTCCACTGCTGCTAGATGCTGGAATCTAGCCCAAATTCTATACAGAACAAAAGTTTATGTACGAATTTGTTCATCTTAACATGATTAGTTATGGCCTCAAATTAAATTTATCGCTTGGACTCATTATAAAGGTTAAAAAAAAAAAGGTAGAGTTTAAAGAATCACCAGTGGAAGATAGAGAAACAGATCATATGAGGAATGAATAAGAAAGGAAAGAAATACCTAACAAATGGTATTAGAATATACTAGTTTGCTAAAAAAACACATATCATCAAACTAATTCCAGATAGGTTAAAGAGATACACTGATGTTTAAAAAAAATCCGAAGGAACAGAAGAAAAAGACATGAATATTAGATCTTTGTGGAAGAGGAATTTTTAAGATTTGCTCTGATAGAATAAATTGAAAAACAAAATATCAAATTTTCCTGCATGAAGATTAGAAATCACATGTAAAAAAAAAAGATAATAACAAAAATTGAAAGTAAAACTGAAAAAGGTAATTGCAAGAAAAAAATCACAATAAGTAGTAAATATCTTTATAAAGAATTTATACAATTTTATCAGAAAAATCACCAAGATCCCAATAAATAGCTAAAATAAATGAACCCGTATATGAAAAATATCCCCACTTATAATTCTAGAGATGTAGGCTCGGCGCCTGTGGCTCAAGTGGCTAAGGCGCCAGCCATGTACACCCAAGGTGACGGGTTCGAATCCAGCCCAGGCCCACCAAACAACAATGACGGCTGCCACCAAAAAACAGCCAGGCATTGTGGTGGGCACCTATGGTCCCAGCTACTTGGGAGGCAGAGGCAGGAGACTCGCTTAAGCCCTGGAGTTGGAGGTTGCTGTGAGCTGAGATGCCACAGCACTCTACCCAGGGGGACAGCTTGAGGCTCCTGTCTCAAAAAAAAAACAAAAATTCTAGAGATGTAAGTTATTAAATGAGATGTCATTTTTTCATAACATAAATTGAAACAGCCACTACTCATATAATTCTTTTGGACAATAATTTAGCAAATTCATTTCCTCCCTTTCCCTCTCTCTTCCCCTCCCCATTCCCTTCCCACTTCCTCCTCCCACCCTCTGTGTGTCTGCTAGATGCTAGAATCTAGCCCAAATTCTATATAGAACAAAAGTTTATGTATAAATTTGTTCATCTCATCATGATTAGTTACAGCCTCAAATTAAAAACATGCTATATTGTCATCTATACTCAACGTGACCAACTGTCCTGTTTTGCTTAAGACTTTTGTTTATACCTGATGTCCAAATGTTAGATGGGGCACCTAAACAGGGGGCACACCTGTTAAGAAAAATTCTGGGGTGGCACCTGTACCTCAAGTGGCTAAGGCACCAGCCACATACACCAGAACTGGCGGGTTCGAATCTGGCCCCGGCCTGCCAAACAATGACAACTACAATAGCCGGGCATTGTGTTGAGCATCTGTACTCCCAGCTACTTGGGAGGCTGAGGCAAGGGAATGGCTTAAGCCCAGGAGTTTGAGGTTGCTGTGATGCCACGGCCCTCTACCCAGGGCAATAGCTTGAGACTCTGTCTCAAAAAAAAGAAAAATTTTGGGCTGATGACCATCAAGTATCTTGAGGAAGGACTAGCTTTTCTAACTTGTATGAAAGCACCATTGGGATTAGTCACCATCCATCCAGTTACTGACATTGGGTGATTTCTGGTTTTGTCTGTTTTTCTGTAATTTCCAGACTTTCCAAAACATACTTTACATATATATGCATATATATATGGACTTTGTACATGCATTAACTGATTTAGTTTCCTTTTTGCTTTATTTATTTATTTTGAGACAGCCTCACTTTGATACCCTCAGTAGAGTACTGTGGTGTCATAGCTCATAGCAACCTCAAACTCGTGGGCTTAAGCAATTCCCTTGCCTCAGCCTGCTGAGTAGGTGGGGCTACAGGCACTCCACAACGCACAGCTGTTTTTAGAGACGAGGTCTCACTGTGGTTCAGGCTGGTCTTGAACCTGTGAATCAGGCAATCCACCCACCTTGGCCTCCCAAGTGCTGGGATTACAGGCATGAGTCACAGCACTGGCCTCATTTAGTTTTTATAACCCTATAATTATTTATTTTTTCTTACTTCACTACTGTTTTTTGAAGATGAGGAAATTGAAGCACTGAAAGAGTAAGTCACCCAGAGTCACACAGTGGTAGAACCAGGATTTATACCCACATAGCTATATCCAGACATTTAAATATTAAGTTATACCAACTATAGGGATAACTACATCTAGTTAGGTTTTTTATTCATTTATGGGGGAGATACATTACCTACATTCACAAATCTTTTTTTTTTTTACAGTTTAATGTTTTTTTTTTTTTTCTTTGAGACGGAGCCTCAAGCTATCTCCCTGGGTAGAGTGCCATGGCATCATGCTCACAGC